CTTCCTTCTGAGGAGTGGCTGGTGGGTTTGAACCGCCAGCCTTCTGGTTAGCAGTCAACTGCCTTAGCCACTATGCTACCAGAGCTCCTAAAGCTTACTTCTAGGCAGTAGAATTTTATAAAAATTTTGTTTTTCAAACTTTCTATAATAAACATATTTTATCAGCAGCAAAAAAACATGTATACATGGGAAACAAAGATTCAAATATTAATAATGATGAAAAATACCACCATACAAAATATATTAACTCACTGTCACCGTGTTGTTTCCGACTCATAGCAACCCATCCTTGGGTTTCCGAGGCAGTATCTCTACAGAAGTAGATTGCCCAGTCTTCCTACTGAGGAATCGCTGGTGGGTTTGAACTGCCAGCCTTCTGGTTGGCAGTCAAATGCCTCAGGCACTACGCCACCAGAGCTCTCACAAAATATACTACTATACAACAAACTTTCCTACTAGCGTTCCACTACCTGTTGACTAGAGCTCTGGTGGTGTAGTGCCTAAGCATTTGACTGTCAACCAGAAGGCTGGCAGTTCAAACCCACCAGCCACTCCTCGGAAGGAAGGTTGAGCAATATACTTCTGTAGTGATACTGCCTTGGAAACCCAAGGAGGGGTTCGCTATGAGTCGGATCCGACTTGATGGCAGTGGGTCATCAACTACATTCCCTGCTCCTGACTCCATTTTAGAGATTGACAACATCAATTATTGAATCTATGTGAACACAATCCTAAGCAAAATTTTCTCAAGGCATATTATATTTTAAGAATCATTTCAGTATTTGATTTAACCTTGGTGCAAATAAACATTTTCAATAGTTGAACTTCATTTCTTGAATGAAGAAAATATTCTTATAGCTATGATGTAAACCTAAATGGCAGTCACAAATTTTACCTTTCATTTTACTGTTAACTGCAAGCGACACATTAAGATTTTTTTTTTTCAAATGGAAAGATCTATTTGATTCACAAATAAGATCTGCAAAGCCTCTGACTTAAACTTTATTTTTTAATTGTAATTTGGATGAAAGTTTACAGAGCAAATTCATTTTCCATATAGCAGTTCACACATATTGTTTCATGACATTGATTGTAATCCCCATAATGTAACAGCTCTCTTCCCACTTCCTCCCTGTGATTACCTTTTCCCTGTGTTCTTTCCTATGCATTCCTACCCACTGAGCTATCTTCCTGTGCAAATACTGCCCTTCTGATCTCCCATGACTGATTGTTTTAAGGATTGTACCCACTTGGTGTAAATGTTCACCTTATTTGCCTACCTATTGTTTGGCTGGAAGTCATGGGAGTGAGTTCAATTCCAGGCCTGAAGGGTGACTAAGGCCCATAGACTTGGGGGATTTCACCAGTCTGTAAGACCAGCAAGCCTGGTCTTTTTTATGATTTTGAGTTTTGTTCCACATTTTTCTCCCACTCTACCCAGGATCTCCTATACTGATGATCCCTTTTTGAGTGGCTGACAGTGGTAGACAGGTACCATCTAGTTCTTTTGGTCTCAGGGTCATGTAGGCTGAGGTCTGCATGGTTCACCAGACCCTTGGACTAATTGTTTCCATGTGTCTTTGGTTTTCTTCATTCTTCTTTGCTCTGGATGTTGAAAGACCAATTGTTACATCTAGATGGCTACTTGCAAACTTTTTTTAAAATTGTAATTTGGGTGAAAGTTTACAGAGCAAATTCACAGCAGTCACACACAGGTTGTCTCATAATGTTGACTACAATTTATCCCAATCAACAGCTCCCCTCCCACTCCCTTGCAATAGTTACCTCTTCCCTGTGTCCATCACTCCATGTACTCCTGCCCCCTGAGCTGTCTCCCTGTGCATAAACAGCCCTTCTTTCTCCCATGATTGTTCTCTCTAAGGAGTGTATCTATCTCAGGTACATGTTTAGTTCATATGCCTGTCTTTTGTTTGGCTGGAAGCCACAGGTGTGGGTTCAATTCCAGACCTGAAGGGCACCTAGGGACCACAGTCTCAGTGGTTCCACTAGGCTCTATCAGATTAGCAAATGTGGTCCCTCTTTTTTTTTTCCCAAATGATTTTGAGTTTTGTTCTACATTATTCTCCCTCTCTATCTAGGATCTCCTACATAGATCCCCCTCTGAGTGGTTGACAGTGGTCACCATCTAGTTCTTCTGGTCTGGTAGTCATATAGGTTGAGGATCGCATGGTGTACCAGTTGTGAGGACTAATTGTTTCCATGAATCTTTGGTTTTCTTCATTCTTTTTTGCTCTGGACAAGAAAAGACCCATCGTTGCATCTAGATGGCTGCTTCCACTTGCAAACTTTTAAGACCCTCGTTGTTACTCACCAAAGCAGAATGTAGAACATTGTTTTTGTGTAGCGTGTTATACCAATTAAGCTTGATGTCCCTCCCAACCATGGTTCTCAGTCCACAACCCCAACAACTTGCTACCTCAACAACTTGCTACCTCAGCGTGGTTGGCTGTAGCAAAGTTGTTATAATAACTTTGTTCTGTGTTAGTTCTATTTATATGGACATTCGTACAGCACATACAAATACGTATGTAGAAATTTCATCTGCCAAAGTTATATATGATCATAAGTATATTCCCTTTTGCCTAGACATACCTATCAGCATGTCTACCTATGTATCCACATGTAGGTAAATGTTTGTTATTACTGATAAAGCAGTATTGTGTATGTAAAAGTTTTTAGTGCCATTGAGTCAGACCCGATTCACAGCGACCCCTGCCTGGGTTTCTGAGGCGGTATCACTATGGAAGTAGATTGCCCAACCTTCCTTCTGAGGAGTGGCTGGTGGGTTTGAACCTCCAGCCTCTGGTTAGCAGGAAAGTGCCTTAGGCACTATGGTACCAGAGCTCCCTCCTAACTTTATATAAATATTTTTTACTTTTCTCCTTTTTTCCATAAAAGCAGTGAGCAATATACTGATTTCATGAGATCATTAACATCAGATTTCCTTAAAAGATCTCACTTCACGAGGCAAAAGCCCAAGGACCTTATGTCCCAAACATAATTTTCTAAGCTGGTATTTAAAAAAAAAAAGGAGAGTGAGTTTTTTCCTAAAACGAAAAAAAGTCATAAACTATAATTCCAGAAATTTTCTACAGCAGAACATTTCCATTAAAATTGAGCATAAATTACTAAAATCAATCATTCTGAAGAATAGTCTAGGAAGAAAACCAAGCAACAAGGGGTAAAAGATTGATGTAAGAAATAGTAAAATTTCACAATTTTCTTTTACCTGTTTTCATGAATCCTGGATGTTCAGCAATGTTTGAACTATTTAGTAGCTTCACAGCTTTTCGATAATTGCCTCTTAAGTACTCAAAATTACTTTTAAGAAACAGAGAAGGTGCAGACTGTAAAGAAAATATAAGTTACTTATACTTTGTTTTCCCATGCCTAACGTTAGATCACAATTGTACTGTTGCATTGGCATGTATTCAACGATAAAAATGAATCAGTTACATCATGGTCACAAAAACCTAAAATATACAACACTCAATCTTACAGTCTCTTTTCTTCATTGTTCTTACAATCTAAAAAATGAAACCTGTCAGAGAGTTATCTTAAAATAAGAATTAATAGTCTACTTAAAAAAAAAATACATAAACCATCTATGTGTAGGGATAAAGTCTGTACAGCACCAAGTGTCTATCTTCACCTATTACACTACTAAGTGGAAGTCAATTTTTGTGTGTGTGTGCATGTATTACAAAGGATTCTACTTTGAAATGGGTATCTTCTCTGGTACAGGTTAAAACATAAAAAAAAAAAAAAAAAAAAACACATTAAAATGAAACCTAAGAAACACACTGTTGGGATATTTATTTGTTGAAGTATTAATTTAGAAAGACTCCGTAGGCTCCGGAGTCAGGCTGGCTGTAATCTTTATGGAAGCCACTCGCCAGGCCTCGATCCTCCATGGCGTCAGTGGGTGGGTTCTAACTGCATCTCTGGGTTACTAGCTGAGTGTGGACTGTCTGTACCACTCAGGGACCTTCCTAACAAACATTCTGAAAGAGAATATTAATTGTTCTTCTACATTAAAGATACTCATCAAAGATGTGGTTCTTCTTCCCTTGAATGAACTTTTTCTTTACTGGAAGTCAGTTTAACAGCACAAACTAGGTCCTTCATTTTAATTGCTCTTAGAGAGACTACTGATCATCCCTAGTTTTAGGATACCAATGCACCTTCATTAGGACCTAGAGAGACACAAATAAGCAAATACTTTTCTAAGTAGGAAAAAAATTTCATACTACAAAGATTTTTAACAGAAAGCCTTATTTGTGAGAGCTAATCTTATTGCTAATATCATGTTGGATTACCTTTCTCTTCCAAGAATCCTCATGGTGAAGGGTCCTCTAAATAGTCCTATTTAGAGTACAAATACATGAGGAGATCTATCTGGAGACTAAACATCCATCCAGCAGGCTATCTGAGATCCCTATTTCATTATTCATTCATTGTAGCTTAGCAACCTGCTTGCTTTCCTTCTAAATCCTAGTTCATCCTTCTCTCTGCCTCCTGTCCATCCCAGAGGTGTTCTGGTCACTGAGGGAACAAAGTATTTCAAGGCTTATTTCAGGTAGGAGTACTCCTTCCTGAAGTGTTCTCTGATTCAGGTATAAGTATTATATTATTGCATTACAATTATTTTCCTATTTATCTCCTTCCTACAACTATGACATCCTTTCCGGCAGGGATTACATCATTTATCTCATAAAAGGTTTGATAATGGTCTTCTGGTCTTTCCCACTTAGCCTCCTCAAGTTACCCTGTTCAGGCCAAGGGTTCAATTGTTCTCCACAAAAAATCATCTGAGTACTATAACGAAGTGGCTAATCTAGCTTCTGCCTAAAATTTCTAGGGTCAATATACCTGAATTATTTCTACTAAGAACTTTTCTTCTCATGATTTCATATTTGTAATCTCAGTTTTCCTAAAAAATAATATGATTGCTCACAATTATGTTTCGTTCCTATCCAAAACCAAAAATCCATTGCTGTCAAGTGGATTATGACTCATAGAACCCTACAGGACAAGAATCCCCATGATTCCAACGCTATACATTTTTATGGAGGCAGATCACTACATCTTTCTTAACCACACTTAACCATTGTGCCACTAGGGCTCCTCTTCTGCCCTATACCATGTTAAAATTTTATTTATCTGTAGGGGCTGGAATGGAGGGAATGAAAATGAAGGGGTAATTATATCTTAAATACTCCAGGGGTAGTCAAATTGGAAGTATTGTCAAGCCAAAAATTGTTTGGAAGGGGCAGGTTCTGCCTACAACCTGCCTGCTAATTTTTAATAAATGTTTTGCCGCTATAAGACATTTAAGTTATTTTAGGATTTCTTATTATACTAGGCACTCTAGTGGCATAGTGGTTAAAGTATTTGGCTGCTAACAAAAAGGTTGGTGGTTCGAACCTACCAGCTGCTCCACAGAAGAAAGATGAGGCAGTCTACATCTTTAAAGATTTACAGCCTTGGACATCCTATAGGGCAGTTCTCAAACTCAAAACCAGACTCACTGTCGTCGAGTTGAATCTGACTCATAGAGACCCCTACTTGGGTTTCCAAGGCGGTATGGGAGAGAAGTGTGTAAGGCACTTGACTGCTAACCAGAAGGCTGGTGGTTCAAACCCACCAGCCGTTCCTCGGAAGGAAGGTTGGGCAATCTACTTCCATAAAGATACCGCCTCGGAAACCCAAGGAGGGGTTGTTATGAGTTGGGTCTGACTCGATGGCACGTAACAACAACATCTGTACAGAACTAGATTGCCAAGTCTTCCTTCCGAGGAGTAGCTGTTGAGTTTGAACCGCCAGCCTTTTGGTTAAAAGTCAAATGCCTTAGGCACTATGCTACCAACTGTTCTACTCTTTCCCAAAAGGGAATCAACTTGATGGCAGTGGTTTGGTTTGGTGGTATTATACTCTTATACGAGTATAATACCAAGAAAGCCTAAAATAATTTCAATGTCTAATATCAGCAAAATATTTATGTGAATTGTGATAAAGCACTCACAGAACGTTGTTATGCGCCGTCGAGTCAGACCCGACTCACAGCAACCCCTCTTTGGGTTTCTGAGGCGGTATCACTACAGAAGTAGATTGCCCAACCTTTTTTCCGAGGAGTGACTGGTGCGTTTGAACTGCTAGCCTTCTGGTTACCAGTCAAGTGCCTTAGGCACTATGCTACCAGAGCTCCCACTCACAGAATATTAGGTAGCTAATACAAATGGTGGTTTTAAAGATTATATGCCAAGAGGAAAGGAGCTCTGGTGGCACAGTGCCTTAGGCATTTGACTGCTAACCAGAAGGTTGGCAGTTCAAACCCATCAGTGACTCCATGCAAGGATGACTGAGCAATCTACCTCCGTAAAGATTTCTGCCTCGGAAACCCAAAGGGGTTGCTTTGAATTGGAATGAACTCAGTGGCAGAGTTTTGTTTGGTTTTCTGGTTATACCAAGGGGAAATGTCTGTTAAAATTTTAAGTGAGAAATATAAATTGTAGACATTATGACCACTATTTCACAACTCTCTAATATCAAAATTTATACCTGGTAGTATATGATAACAGACTAAGATGAATTATTTAATACTCACAAGTACCCATAGTCCAAATAATAAAGTTTTAGGGCATAAAATCCACAAATTGAAAAACAAGACAAAAATCCAAAAGAAACTTACATTTCCAGTTGTGTTCATGACTGACTTAATTTCCCTTTTGCATGCTTTCAGGGACTTCATTTGGATATAAGCTCTTACTTTATACTGTCAAAGGAAAATGCTTGTGTGTAAGAACTATGGTGAATTTACATATGCTGAAGTATTTTATTTTCTAGTTAAAGATATTAAACCCAGTATGTTTGTAATACAGTTATACCAGTTACTTGCAAAAGCAAGTTTAAAATTATCTTAAATATCCTATTTTAACTGTACTCTTGGAACGCAGTCTAAAAAAATATATCAGAATAAAATTTACACTTAACATTCTAAGCAAAAATTCTACTAATTTTTATCTGCCAGTGGTTAAGTAAGAGTGAATTTTTAAATTCTACAAATTGATTTAATTGTTCAATACATTCTCAGGTCATTCCTCTCAACCTTCTATACAGTAATTAAAAGAAACAATATTACATTATCACCTTAAGCAAAATATATTTAGAAGGATAAATATGCTGCTAAACTACAACACTTCAAAGCCAATAAATATACATACCTTGCTGGTATTTACTACTTTCTATAATCTATGACATTGTGTCCTCATTCACAACAAGAAAATATATGTATAATCTCCCTTTAAAATTTACCCTACCTGATGTATCTTTGATTTTGCAGCTTCTATTAGAGCTCCATTCTCAGCTTTATGATTAGATCCGTCTTTGTTGGTGTTATTACCAGTCTATAGGGTGGTGAAACAAAATTGACCAAGTTTAAATATTTTAAATTATAATTTAAATCAATGGCTTATAAATGAGTTAATCTCAGTCACCCAGTGGGAATTCTCACAATTCAGAATCTCAGGCCCTACTTCCACACAATCAGGCTCTGTAGTTGGGGGTGAATGACAGGAAACTGTACTTACAAGAAGCTCATAGGTTTTAAAAGGACAGATATTACTTGAACAAAACTTAAGATTATCTTTCTAAAACCAAGAATAGATGAAGTCATTTCTGTCTTAAAATATTTGCTGGTACAAACACTGCCAACAAGATCCAGATCTAAATTCCTAGTCAAGTCTTCAAAGTTCCTCATAAGATGACCTGTCTCCATTATATTCCATAGGTACTATCCATTGCACTTTACCAGAAATTCCCCCAGTATACCTCTGGGCTTTGCTCGTGCTGTTTTCTCCAACAGGATGGTTATCCTACCCTACCCCCTCCTCTTCTGGCCTGTCAAAATCTTACCATCTTTCAAGGTAAGATCTAGAGCAGCTCCAATTTTCCGAGCTGCTGTGAAGCATTCATGAACCTCCCTCCTCCCTGCTCATGAACAGATGTTGCTCAATCTGTCTCCTCCCACAGACCTGTCAGTTCCTTGAAAAGCTTGTTTTCATTCCTGTCATCTTAATATCCAGCTGAGTATCAGATACATGGTAGGCAAACAAGACTCTACTGAATTGAATTGTTTTTCATCAAATATAACAACTATGGAACATAGAAAGGAAATGTTTTACTATATGAAGTTTAGGAATAACACTATGATTATTCAACCAAAATCCCTTATGTACACATACATTCCTGTTATCTTGTTGTTGTTAGGTGCCGTTGAGTTGTCTCTGACTCATAGTGACCCTATGCACAGCAGAACGAAACACTGTCTGGTCCTGCACCAGCTCTACGATCCCTGCTATAGTTGAGCCCATAGCCACAGCCACTGTGTCAATCCATCTCGTTGAGGGCATTCCCTTCTTTTGCCGACTCTCCACCCTACCAAGCATGACGTCCTTGTCCAGGGAACGGTCCCTTCTGATAACATGACCAAAGTAGGTGAGACAAAGTCTGGCCATTCTCTCATCCAAGGAGCATTCCAGCTGCACTTCCTCCAGGGCAGATCTGTTAGTACTTTTAGCAGTCCATGGTACTTTCAGCATTCTTCGCCAACACCACATCTCAAAATAATTCTTCTCTGGTCTTCTTTATTCATTATCCAGCTCTCATATGTATATGAGGCAACTGAAAATATCATGGCTTGTGTCAGGCACACCTTAGTCATCAAGGAGACATCTTTGTTCTTCAGCACTTGAAAGAGGTCCTTTGTCGCTGACTTGCCCACTGCTATATGTCGTCTGATATCCTGACTGCTGCTTCCATTGGCGTTGATTGTAGAACCAAGCAATGTGAAGTCTTTGACAACTTCAATCTTTTCTCCATTTATTGTGATGCTGCTTATAGGTCCAGTTGTGAGAATTTTTGTTTTCTTTATATTTTGTTTTTTATATACTGAAGACTGTATTCTTCAATCTTCATCACTAAGTGCTTCAAGTCATCCTTACTTCTGGCAAGCAAAGTTGTGTTGTCAGAGTATTGAGGGTTGTTAATAAGCCTTCCTCCAATCCTGATGCCACGTTCTTTGTATAGCCCAGCTTCTCAGATTATTTGCTCAGCATATAGATTGAATAAGTATGGTGAAAGGATACAACCCTGATGTACTCCTTGACAGAACAAGGGGACATTTTGCATGGTTTAAAATCAAGAAGGGAGTGCGTCAGGGTTGTATCCTTTTACCATACTTATTCGTGCCTGTTAAGGTATAAAATCAGTGGTAGATGCTTATTTTATGTATTTATTTATTTATTTTGGAAACCAAGGCTCAGAAAGGTTGACTTGGCCAAGGCCATATTATTTTATTTTGAAATCTCAAGAAGAATAAAGTTATTCAGGCAGAAAGGTAGTCACAATCTTTTTCTGCAAGTACTCCTTTTTTAGAAAGAGTGGGGAAGGGCCGAAACAGTAGGAAGAAAGGGCCATCCCTTAACAACTAGAAGCACAAGAAAAAGGAAAAAACATGACACTTCAGATGTATTCTTAGGCTGCACCAAGTCACTTTATCAGAACATAGTGAAACTTGTTATTTATGTATGCTGACTGCCTTTTTTTTCTTTTTTTTATTGTGATTTGGGTGAAAGTTTACAAAGCAAATTCACTTTCCATACGGCAGCTCACATAGACTTTGTCCCACGACATTGACTGCAATTTCCCACAATGCAACAGCTCCCCTCCCACTTCCTCCCCATAGTTACCTCTTCCCTGTGTCCTTCTCTCTCATGGACTCCTGTCCTCCTCAGCTGTCGCCTTGTGCACACACAGCCCTTCTATTCTATCATGATTGATCTCTTCAAGGACTGTATCTGCCTAATGTAAATGTTCAGCTCATATGCCTGTCTTCTGTTTGTCTGGAAGCCACAGGAGTAGGCTCAATTCCAGACCTGAAGGATAAGTAGGGGCCATATTCTCAGTGGTTCCATCAGGCTCTATCAGACCAACAAACCTGTTTTTTTTTTTTTTTTAATGATTTTGAGTTTTGTTCTATTGTTCTCCCACTCTGTCCAGCGTCTCCTACATAGATCCCCTTCCTAGTGGTTGATATATGCTGACTGCTGTCCAGGTACATTATAGATGGAATTTTCCCTATGAAAGATACACTGCTCATCTAAATTACACAATTTTATTGTCTTAATTTTAACTTTTTAAAATTTTGTTTTTAGGTGCCATCAAGTCGTTTCTGACTCATAGCAACCCTTTGTACAACAGAGTGAAACACTGCCCGGTCCTATGCCAGCCTCATGATCCTTGCTACATCTGAGCCCATCACTGCAGCCACTGTGTCAATCCATCTTGTTCAGGGCCTTCCCCTTTTTTGCTGACTCTAATTTACCAAGCATGATACCCTTCTCCAGGGAATGGCTTCTGACCACATGACTAAAGTAGGTGAGACAAAGTCTGGCCATTCTTGCTTCCAAAGAGCATTCTAGCTGCACTTCTTGCAGGACAGATCTGTTAGTTCTTTTAGCAGTCCATGGTACTCTTAGCATTCTTCTCTAATACCATAACTCAAAAGCATGAACTCTTCTTCAGTTTTCCTTATTCACTGTCCAGCTCTCACATACATATGAGGTGACTGAAAATACCATGGCTTGGGTTAGGTGCACCTTAGTTTTCAAGTAGACATCTTTGCTCTTCAGCACTTGAAAGAGGTCTTTTGCAGATCTGCTCAATGTGATATGCCATCTGATGTCTCTCTTTTTTTTTTTTTTGGCCTTCATCAGAGTTAAAATCTATTTTTTTTTTAAATTGTGATTTGGCTGAAAATTTACAGAGTAAATTCACTTTCCATATAGCAGTTCACATACACTTTGTCTCATGACATTGACTACAATTTACCCCAATGCACCAGCTACCCTCCCACTTCTTCCCGACAGTCACCTCTTCCCTGTGTCCATCCCTCCATGCACTCCTGCCGCCTGAGCTGTCTCCCTGTGCATAAACAGCCCTTCTTTCTCAGATTGTTCTCTCCAAGGAGTGTATCTACCTCAAGGTAAATGTTCAACTCATATGCCTGTCTTTTGTTTGGTTGGAAGCCACAGGTGTGGGTTCAATTCCAGACCTGAAGGGCAGCTAGGGGCCATAGTCTCAGAGGTTCCACCAGGCTCTATAAGACCAGCAAATCTGGTCCCGCCCTCCCCCCTTTTTTTCCCCAAATGATTTTGAGTTTTGTTCCACATTGTTCTCCTTCTCTATCCAGGATCTCCTACATAGATCCTCCTCTGAGTGACTGAGAGTGGTGGCTGGGCACCATCTAGTTCTTCTGGTTTCATAGTCCTATAGGCGGAGGAATGCATGGTGTAGTAGTCACTAGGACTAATTGTTTCCATGAATCTTTGGTTTTCTTCATTTTTCTTTGCTCTGGACAAGGAGAGACCTATTGTTGCATCTAGATGGCTACTTGCAAGCTTTTAAGCTCCCAGTCATTACCTGCCAAAGTAGGAGGTGGAACAATGTTTTGTGTAGTACATTATGGCAATTGAGCTTGATGTCCCCTGCGACTATGGTCCTGAGCCCGCTGGTTCAACTACTCGGTCCCTCTGGGTAGCTGGTTGTGACCAAGAAGTGACTACAACCTTGTCCCTTGTCAGCTCTACTATATACCTGGGAATTCTTACAGATCATACAAATACACTTATAGGACCACTGTCTGCCAACCCTATACATGGTCTTGGTTACACTCCCTGCTTCACAGACATACTTAACAGTTCAGACTATCCACCCTTCTATCTACCCGTATACTCATGTTTGCCTTCACTGACAATGCAGTACTGTATGTGCAAAAGGGTTCATCTTTGTTGTCTGCACCTCCCATGTACCTCTTCCTCAACGCCACCATGTAGATCACTCACATTTGGTACATTGCCCTTCTCTTTACCCAAATCAATACTTACCTCTACCTATCTAACAGTGTTCTCTTCCCTCCCCTCCCACCCCTGGTAACCAACAAAGAAAATTTCCTCCCATAGATAAACCTTTCCTTAATTTTTACAATAATGGACTAATACAATATTTGTCCTTTTGTAATTGACTTATTTCACTCAGCATAATGTCCTCCAAGTTCATCCATGTTATGCGGTGTTTTGCAGATTCTACATTATTCTTTAGGGTTACATAGTATTCCACTGTGGGTATGTACCATAGTTTGGTTATCCATTCCTTAGCTGATGGACACCTAGGTTGTTTCCATCTTTTGGCTATTGGAAATAGTGCTGCGTGTCATCTGATGTCGTCACTGCTGCTTCCATTGGGGTGTTGATTGTAGAACCAAGTAATATGAAGTCTTTGACAACTTCAGTCTTTTTTCCACTTATCTTGATGTTGCTTTCTGGTCCAGTTGTGAGGATTTTTGTTTTCTTTATATTGAGGTGCAATCCATACTGAAGACTAAAATCTTCTATCTTCATCAGTAAGTGCTTCAAGTCATCCTCACTTTCTGCAGCAAAGTTGTGTCGTCTGCATATCGCAGGCTGTTAATGAGACTTCCTCCAATCCTGATGCCACATTCTTCATATAGTCCAGCTTCTTGGATTATTTGCTCAGTATACAGATTGAATAAGTATGGTGAAAAGATACAACCCTGACGGATTCCCTTCCTGATTTTAAACCACGCAGTATACCCTTGTTCTGTTAGAAAGAGAGCCTCCTGGTCTATGTATATGTTTCTCATGAGTACAATTAAGTGTTCTGGAATTCCCATTTTTCTCAACGTTATCCACAATTTGTTATGATCCACAAAATTGAAAGTTTTTGCATAGTCAACAAAACACAAGTAAACATCTTTCTGATATTCTTTGCTTTCAGCCAAGATCCATCTGATATCAGCAATGATATCCCTCATTCCACATCCTCTTCTGAATCCAGCTTGTATTTCTGGAAGCTCTGTGTTAATATACTGCTCCAACCGTTTTTGAATTAGCTTCAGTAAGATTTTACTTGCATGTGATATTAATGACATTATTCAATAATTTCCACATTTTGTGGGATCACCTTTCTTTGGAATAAGTACAAATATGGATCCCTTCCAGTCATTTGGCCAGGTAGCTATCTTCCAAATTTCTTGGCATAGCCCAGTGAGTGCCTCCAGGGCAGCATCTGTTTGTTGAAACATCTCAGTGGGTACCCCGTCAATTCCTGGAGCCACTGTTTTTCATCACTTCCTCCAGTGCAGCTTCGACTTCTTCCTTCAATACCATTGGTTCTTGATCATATTCCACCTCCTGAAATGGATGAACATCAACTAATTCTTTTTGGTACAGTGACTCTGTGTATTCCTTCCATCTTCTTTTGATGCCTCCTGCATCATTCAATATATTGCCCATAGAATCTTTCAATATTGCAACTAGAGGCTTAATTTTTTTCTTCAGTTCTTTCAGCTTGAGAAATGCCACACATGTTCTTCCCTTTTGGTTTTCTAACTCCAGGTCTCTGTACATTTCATTATAATAATTGACTTTTTCTTCTCGAGCTTCTCTTTGAAACCTTCTGTTCAGCTGTTTCATGTTGTCATTTCTTCCATTTGTTTTAGCTACTCTCTGTTCAAGGGCAAGTTTCCGAGTTTCTTCTGACACCCATTTTGGTCTTTTCTTCCTTTCCTGTGTTTTTAATGACCTTTTGCTTTCTTCATGGATGATGTTCTTGATGTCATCCTACAATTCCTCTGGTTTTTGATCAGTGGTGTACAATGTATCAAATCTATTCTTTAGATGCTCTCTAAATTCAGGAGGGATATAATCAAGGTCATATTTTGGCTTTCGTCGACTTGTTTTAATTATCTTCAACTTCAGCTTGTATATGAGCAGCTGATGGTCTGTCCCACAATCAGCTCCTGGCCTTGTTTTGGCTGAAGATATTGAGCTTCTCCATTGCCTCTTTCAACCCCACCTGCTACTCCTCGGAAGGAAGGTTGGGCAATCTACTTCCGTAGTGATACCGCCTCAGAAACCCAAGGAGGGGTTGCTATGAGTTGGGGCTGACTCAATGGCACATAACAACAACAACAACATTGCCTCTTGCCACAGATGTAGTCAATCTGATTCCTGTGTACTTCATCTGGTGAAGTCCACGTGTATAGCCATTGCTTGTGTTTTTGAAAAAAAAAAAAAACTTGAAAAAAGGTATTTGCAATGAATAAGTCATTGGTCTTGCAAAATTTTATCGTGTGATCTCCAGGTTTATTTCTATCACCAAGGCCATATTTCCCAACTACGAGTGATTCTTCTTTGTTTCCAACTTTTGCATTCTAATCACCAGTGATAATTAAAACATTTTTATTATGTGTTTGGTCTATTTCAGACTGTAGAAGTTGGTAAAAATCTTCAACTTTCTCATCTTTGGCTTTGGTGGTTGGTGCATAAATTTCAATAGTAGTAGTAATATTAATTGGTCTTCCTTGTAGGCTTGTGGATATTATCCTATCACTGACAGCGTTTTACTTCAGGACAGATCCTGAAACGTTCTTTGTGACGATGAATGTCACACCATTCCTCTTCAATTTGTCATTCCCCGGATAGTAGAACATATGGTTGCCCGATTCGAAATGGCCAAAACCAGTCCATTTCAGCTCACTTGGAAGGAAGGTTGGGCAATCTACTTCCATAGTGATACCGCCTCGGAAACCCAAGGAGAGGTCACTATGAGTCGGGTCTGACTCAAGGGCACATAACAACACAACATGCCTAGGATATTGATCTTTATGCATTCTATTTCATTTCTGACAACTTCCAATTTTCCTAGATTCATACTTCATACATTCCATGTTCCGATTATTAATGGATATTTAAAGCTGTTTCTTCTCATTTTCAGTCATGCCACATCAGCAAATGGACGTCTTGAAATCTTTACTCTATCCACATCATTATAAGGAGCTCTGGTAGCGCAGTGCCTAAGGCACTTGACTGCTAACCAGAAGGCTGGCAGTTCAAACCCACCAGCCATTCCTTGGAAGGAAGGTTGGGCAATCTACTTCCATAGTGATATTGCCTTGGAAACCCAAGGAGAGGCCGCTATGAGTTGGGTCCGACCCGACGGCACATAACAACAACAACATCCACATGATTAAGGTCAGCTCCACTCTGAAGAGGCAGCTCTTCCCCAGTTGTATCTTGAGTGCCCTTTGATCTGAGGGGCTCATCTTCTGGCGCTGTATCAGACAACGTTTCAGGGCTATTCATAAAGTTTTCCAATAATATATCAGACAAACACACTGCTATTCATAAGGTTTTCACTGGCCAATTTTTTGAGAAGTGGATGGTCTCTTCCTTCTTCTAAGTCTGTCTTATTCTGGAAGCTCTGCTTAAATCTGTCCACCATGGGTGACCCTCCCGGCGTTTTAAACACCAGTGGCATAGTCTGAAGCCTCATAGCAACACACAAGCCACCACAGTATGACAAACTGACAGGCAAGTTTTGTCTGCCTTAGCTGTCCCAAACCCCTCCATTCACTTCCTGCTCTCCCTTGGCAGTTCAAAACTCCACTGGCTCGCTTCCTAGTCTCCCTTAGCTGTTCCAAACTGTCACCTGCTTGCTTCCTGGTCCCCCTTAGCTGTTCCCAACATTTTAACTTTTACATTTGTAAAAATGATATTTGATTCATGAAAAGATGCTCAACATAAATCCTTAGCTATTAGGGAAATGCAAATCATAACCATAATGAGATACCACTTCACACCCAGTAAAATGGCTTAGAAAAATAAATAAATTACAGTAACACGTGTTGATGAGAATGTGGAGAAATGGAACCTTGATAGGTTGCTGGTATGAATGTAAAGTGGCGTAGGTACTTTGGAAAACAGTCTGGCCATCCTTCATAAAGAAACATAAAATTACCTTATGTCTCAGAAATTTCATTCCTAAGTGGACACTCAAGAAAAATGAAAACACATCCACACAAAAACTTTCACATGAATGTTCACAGCACCATTATTCATAATATCCCAAAAGTGAAAATAACCCTAATGTCTATTAAGTGGTGAATTAATTTAAAAAATGTAGAATATCCATATAATGAAATATTATAAACTACAACATGGATGAGCCTTGAAAACATGCTAATAAGCAAAAGAAGCCAGTCACAAAACGCCAGAAACTGTATGATTCCAGTTACATGAAATGTCCAGACTAGGCAAATGCAGAGAAAGAAAGCAGATCAGTGGACCAGGGGTAGGGAGGAATGTGATGTGACTGCTAGTGGATACAGGGTATCTTTCTGGTTTCTCTTGGTGATAGTTATACAAGTCTGTGATTATATTAAAAGCCAGTGAATTGTACATTTTAAAACAGTAAATTTTATCTCATTAAAGTGATTAGAAATAATTTCAAAAGTATAAATATTAATCACATTTTGAAATTTAGTCTTATCACCTTGGAACACTCACCTCATTCTTTCCATTTTTATTATTGTTTCCCTGTGAAATCATTTTTTCTAGGACAGCAAGGAGATGTAAAGCTTTCTCAGCTTGATAGGTTAATATATATAGATCTACAAGCAGAAAGCACACAGCTTGGGCAAATTTTTCTTCTGGCAAAAAGGAAAAAAAAATAAGAAAAAAAAAGTTATAATCTAAAGTGAAGCAAACATCTCACATCACCCTCCCCAAAAGGTAAATAAACCCCAGGTCTTTACACAAAGAAATTCACATCACCTAGAGCCATTAATTAGCATTGCAAATTTCAGTTTGCAATGCTAATAATGCTGTTCTATTAAGCATCTCAAAGACTCTCATTTCCGGCATTCCAGCAATCAAATCTCCTTTAGCAAAACATCTACCAAACACCAGCACAGGTAAGGAGGAGAACTAAGTTATGTTGAATGAAAGCTCAATTAGTCCTTCCTATGCCACTTACTATATGTGTGGCCTCTGCACATCATGTAACTTTCTGGATCTTAGCTGTCTCACCTATAAAATGGGGAGAACACTTTAGCTGCCTGAAGGCAGGGATTGAACCACATGTTCTTTTGAGGGACCTAATAATTCTAACATCTATGACTCTATGAACTAGATTTCTTTGTACTTCACAGAGATGGAAAAAAGAAACAACTTAATTACAGAGACTGGATACCTGTACAAAAGAAGCAAGGTATGCATCACCAAAAATGAAATATAAGAGAAGGCCTTCCAGGGAGAAGCGCTTAATGAAAATAGTGTGTGACGTAAATATATTTTCCTTTCCTTTCACAGAATAAAATAAAATGAAAAACAGAAAGGAAAAACCAAGCCTAAAAGAAGGCTGCTGTAATCAAGCACAGAAAAGTGTCAAAATTTCTAAAAGCCTCCTGACAAGTCGTCCTGTTTCAATTCTTGCTCTTACGTAGCAGCCAGACTGAGTTATTTAAAATTGAGATCAGTTGCTGTGCAAAGATCACATCTCTCCAAAGGCTTCCTAAACCGAAAAAACCAAACCCACTGCCATCGGGTTGATTCCGACTCACAGCATCCCTACAGGACAGAGTAGAATTGCCCGATAGGGTTTCCAAGGCTGAAAGCGTTAAAAGAAGCCAACTGTCACATCTTTCTCTCATGGAGTGGCTGGTGGGTTTGAACGGCCAACCTTTGGGTTAGCCTGAGCACTTTAATCACTGTACCACCAGTGCGCCTTTAATGGCTTCCTACCACACATAAAAAGTTCTTGACGAGACTACAAGGCTTTACCTGTTCTGTCCCAACTACTTCTGATGTCATTTCTTAACATTCTCCCACCTAGCTCTGGTCACTAAGGACCCTCTGCTGTTCCTCTCCTATACCAAACAGGCCCTCCTCACCTCAGGATCTTTATTCTATTCCCTTTGGCTGGAATGCTTTCCTTCTAAAGAATAGCATGGCTCAGTTCACCCTTCATTCAGGTCTTTTTTCAAAAGCTGTTTCACTAGAGGCCTTCCTTGATAACCTTATCTAAAGATAACACTCCCAGTCAACTTCATTTTCTTACTCAATTTTAGCTTTACAGCATTTAGTAATATCTGACATTACATATTTATTGTGTGTCTGTGTGGCTATCTCTTGCCCCCATTAAGGTATGAGTAAGAGCACCCCAAATTAACTTAGGACTCTTGACATGAGAGGGTGACTATGCTAAAGTCTGAGGCTAAAACTCAGACTTGAATCAAACGTAACCTCTGTCTGTATCAGGAATACAACCTGCCATTTCTGTAGCTCTCCAAGTACCTGAGAAAAAAACTTGGTAAATAATTTCAGAAAACAATGTAATTTTGTTTGCTTACATGTTTTCTTTGCTGCCTAGGAAGCCAGGTCCAAAACAATTCTCAGAACAGATGGTTACTGCAAACAAACTTTAGAATTAAGCATGTCCCCCCTGTGGTCAAACAGGGAGGCACTCATGATTGTTTTGAGGCCAGATGTACCCAATTTAATGATTACTTTGTAAGTTTAAAACACAACTTCAGAAACATATGTAATCTCCTACCAATCAGATGGACCATCACTCAATTCTGTAACCATTATCTAAATGTCAATCACTGAATTTTAATTGAATTTCCTTGTATTTTTCTTACATATTCTCTGAACTGCTTCCTCCTTGCATCACTTAGTTCGGAATTCTCTGGACTTTGTGATTCCCAATCTGCAAATTGCCTTTTCCCTTTATAAAAGCTCTTTTACTTTTAATTACAACCAGACTCTGCCATTTTGCTCTACAACAAGTTTAAATTTAATGAAGGTAAAGACTTTATTTTTTTCACTGCATGATCCCATGCCAGAACAGTACCTGGCCATAGGAAGTGGTGAATAAATATATGTTATATGAAGAATCTAAGAAATAAAGTTAAAAAATAACAGTAATTTCTAAAGAAGAAAAATGTATTTGAATACTTACTAGATAATTTGCTATACATCATTCAGTCACAATAGATTAACAGAATTTTGTGACTCTAAAAGCCATCAATAATGGTAGTCTTTATAAAAGTATGTATTATACAGGAGCTCTGATGGCGTAGTGCCTAAGGCATTTGACTGTCAACCAGAAGGCTGGCAGTTCAAACCCACCAGCCACTCCTTGGAAGGAAGACTGGGCAATTTACTTTTGTAGAGATGCAGCCTTGGAAACCTGAGGAGGGATTGCTATAAGTTGGGACTGACTCGATGGCAGTGAGTTTTTTTGTTTGTTTTTATGTATTATACACCTATGCTATCCTAGAGGTATAATTCTGGTTTATAGCTATACAGAAGAAAGGAACTGGTCACTAGTTCCGCCCTTACCACTGACATCTCTCCTGTCCAGTCGGCCTAGCCACCAAGCCCTCAGGATTAAGAGAAATGTAAGAAGCACCACAAATATTCCTCCTTGGAGCCAAAGTAATCAGCTGCTCAACTAGGGGTCAGCAAATGGGGTGCCCGTAACTTAGTAGTTCAGTAAATAGAGCAAGATAATATATTTCTACTACAAAATGCACCAAAGAGGAGCCATCACATTCCACCACCTGTCCTGTGGCGAATACATCACCAATCAGGCATTAATAAACTAGGAATTTCCATTTGTGTTTTTAATTAAAAACTATTCTTCAAGCATATTACTTGTTTTAAGATTATGAGTGTGAAAATTTGTCTTGGAATTTAGAATGAAAAGTAAACTAGAGAAATAGACAAAAACACGAATCACAAATAAAATGTGAATCTTTGTGGGCAAGTAACTAAGGGCCCTCTCTAACAATCATTTCCCTATCCAGCTTTCCCTTTGCTGCTTTCCGTATTTGTTCTCTCTCTCTTTTCCTTTTCCCTGACCTTTCTTATTACTCCTACCCCAGGCTAGAAATAGTAAGTTGAGGGAGCTCTGGTGGCATAGTACCCAAGGCATTTGACTGCTAACCAGAAGGTTGGTGGTTCAAACCCACCAACCAGACACTCCACAGAAGGAAGACTGGACACTCTACTTCCGTAAAGATTTACCGCCTTGGGAACCCAAAGGGGGTCGCTATGAGTCAGAATCAACTCAATGATAGTGACTTTGGTTTTCTTTGGTTGGTAAATTAAGATTTGGAAAAAAACTGGGCTATACAGTCTCTATGATTACTCATAAAAATTTCAGTTAGTCAATAGACAAATGAAATACTATGCTGTTCCCTAACATTCCAGAATGTTCCTTCCTCAATCCACTCCTCAAACAGGAAAGGACCCTGACACTAAAGAGGTGTTTAAACAGCAAAGAAAAAAAATCTAAAGAAAGAAAAAAAATTAGTGTCTCCAATCAGAAACAGCATTTTTAGCAAGTTATCTTTGAAATTTGGGGAGGAGCTTTCAAAAAGCTGGATTCATCAAAAGTCACAAATTTAAAAGGTTTTTTTCAAAACTTTTCTGCCCATTAAGATTATGTAACAGTTTTTTCTTGATGGGTAATTTTCTGACTTAGATTAGCAGGTAAAAGTACCAAAGAAGTATACAAGTATGAGAAGATAGGGAAATCTCTGACTTGACAAGTAACATACCAAAAGGTTCTATGAACTGATAAAGTTTCTCCCCAACTGATATTGCTTCTGTATACTGCCGAAGATGATAAAGAATGACTGCCTGATTATAATACAACATGCTGTTTTCAACATCATCTAATCCATCCATTTCTTCAACAGCTGAGTGGACCTATGAAAAACCAACAAGGACTGTTTTAACAACAATAAGGAAATAAAAAGCAATAGTGAAAGAACCTGTATAAATAAACAGGAACGTAGGGCAACATTTCTTATGCTGAATTTTCCCACGCTTTCAATAGTATCTTTATATTTTAACTACTTTCACATATAAAAGTCATTTCATTCATCTGTTTCACTTATGATAAAATTTTGTTAAAGAAAACACTTTAGAGGGATTTGATTAAGTATCCAGCACAAGGCAAGGAGATTTTCTACCTTGCAGCTGTGAAGACACATTCCTTGTTTTAACTGTCAACAGCGCTTCTGAATAGGTTTCCTACTTTCTAGCCTCATGAGTTGTTAAGAGGCTACATGGACAACAGAAAAACTCAAAATGGGCCTTCCCATAAAAATTCCATCTAGAATGTATAGCTTGATTCCATTTTACTAAAAACTATACTAAAATTGGGAGCTCTGGTGGCATAGCGCCTAAGGCATTTGACTGCTAACCAGAAGGCTGGTGGTTTAAACCCACCAGCCACTTCTCAGAAGGTTGGGCAATCTACTTCTGTAGTGATACCACCTTGGAAACTAAAGGAGGGGTCGTTATGAGTCGGATCCAACTTGATGACTCAATGGCAGTTAGTTTGGTTTGGTTTGGTTGTACTACAATTTAAACAACAATAGCTAATTACTTACTATGCACCAGGCCTGCTATGTTAAGCCTTTTATAGAGAACATCTCATTTAATTCTCCTGATACCTCAAGGACATAGATAACATTATCAGTCTCATTTTATAAATAAGAAAATCAGCAGAGAGAGGGTAAGTATCTTGCCCGAGATCAAATGACTAGGAAATACATTTTCTGATTTTCCTATAATGTTCACGTTTTGTTCCCATAATAACAAAGTTTTTTGGTTTTTTTTTTAAAGTAATGTACAACAAAACTACATATGTCACATATGGTTGTTAGAGTGGGCTTTTATGGCTTTTACTAGTAACCTAACATGCACAACTGATACCAAAAGAACATCTGGAATACACATCGCATTTGAAAGTTAATGACTATTAGCATACTACTTCTATAAGCTGTAGCACTAGGCTTTTTAATTTTAATCAAGTTTTGCAACCATTTCGTAGTTCCATGTAACACATAAAAGTAGAATTTCACCTGTATTAAAACGGACTTTTCCTTGCCATAACAAAGATTGCAATAAATTATTGTACAGTGTTAAGTAATTAATTCTTACACTGATATTTCCTGAAATTAAACAGCAGAACTGTGATACAATGGATTTAACAGCTTTAGTTTGGCTACTGACAAGAAACCCGAAGGTGCATGATATATCATGATTTGTAATCTGGTTTCTGCAGATTTCAATCACGCATGTAGTGAACTGGGTAGGAGGGTTCAAATATTAGTTAGGAAGTGGTGTTAGTGACTAACAGCATCTGTATCTCAATTAGTTTAAAGAGTCTTTATAATCTCCATTTGTCAAGTTTTCAAGTAATTAAAAATAGCTTCCTTAAACAAACAGACTCCATTCCCAAAGAAAGGCAACTCTTCTTGAAAGCTCAGTAAATGGGAACAAGAATGAGTTTAAAAAAAAAACCAAAACAACCAAACTCATTGCTGTCGAGTTGGATCCAACTCATAGTGACCTCTCCTTGGGATTCTGAGCGGTATCACTATGGAAGTAAAAAAAAAAAAAAACCAAACCCAAACTCACTGCTGTGGAGTCAGATCCAACTCACAACGGGTCTCCTTGGGTTTCTGAGGTGGTGGTTGTTGTTATGTACCATCGAGCCATCGAGTCAGAACCGACTCATAGTGACCCTTCCTTAGGTTTCCGAGGCAGTATCACTACGGAAATAGATTGCCCAACTTGCCCAACCTTCCTTCTGAGGAGTTGCTGGTGGGTGTGAACCCTCAGCCTTCTGGTCAGCAGTCACATGCCTTAGGCACTACGTCACCAGAGCTCCTACTATGGAAGTAGATTGCCCAATCTTCCTTCTGAGGAGTGGCTGGTGGGTTTGAACCGCCAGTCTTCTGGTTAGCAGTCAAATGCCTTAGGCACTAGGCCACGAGAGCACTAAGAAAGGGTTAATTCTCAGCCAGAAAATAGAGACACTTTGGAAAAATTAGGGAGCTTTAGACTGAACAATGATTGAACTTATGACATGAGAAAGTTTACAACATTTCTATGATTCACCAAAATAGTAACTCTCCAGTCTGAACAAAAACTACGTTAAATAAAATAAAATGCTAATGAAAGTAGAAATGATTGAAAAAAAAGGTGTGCTACAGTGACCCTACTAAACAGAATCATGATTTAGAGAAAGCCAGGTGACACTAAGTATAAACACTAGTAAGAAACTCAAGCGTTGAAGGCACTTGGTGGTGGGGGGGGCACTACTGAACCTTTAGTAAGAATGAAGGCTGGTAAAAGGATTGAAAAAACACACACACAGTTTTCTTGGCTTAACAGGAAGTTTGCAGGAGTTTCTTATTCTAAAAAAAGTTCTAAGGCTGAATGTGTCCTCATAGACCAAACCAATCTGCTTTGGCAGAAAATGCCTATTGGGTTATAGGACACATATACTAGACATCCAGTAAACATTACCTTTCTTTTGATTCTTAAGCTCCAGATAAAGTCATGGCTAATAATCACAGGGCAATGGTAAAATGTCATGACATAAAAGTTTACAAGGACTGAGGTGGTTATAAGCACAAGCTCTAGAGAAAGAAGGCCTGGTTGAATTTCTGCTCCTCTGCTGCTTACTAACTGTATAAAGCTTCCTTAGCCCCAGTTTAAAACAAAAATAATAGTAACTCTACTGTGAGGGTTACATGAGATAAGGCATGAAAACACTTAAATGATACCTGACATCAAGTAAGCGCTCAGTAAATGTTGGCTATTATTCTCATTCTCACTGAAAAATTTTAGTGGGATTTTATAATTACTTCATTCCTACATAAAATTATGAAAAGCCTGAAGGGGTCACTTATTTTTCAATACAAAGTTTTAGGGTGATGCTACAGTGGTATTCATGACTACAGGACAAGGGCTCAAAAAGGTCTCAAGATCCTGGGAGGGAACGCTGTTAGATAGATAGAGATAAATATTGATTTGGGTGAAGAGAAGGGCAATGTACCAAATGTGAGTGACCAATATGGCAGCATTGAGGATGAGAACGACATAGAGAGTTACATGGGCAGTACAGACAACAAATATGAACCCTTTTGCATATACAGTACTGAGTTGTCAGTGAAAGCAAACATGGGTATAGGGACGGATAGATGCGTGAACAAGCTAAACAATTAGGTATGTCTAAATGGAGAATGTATCCAAGATCATATATAGGGTTGGCAGACAATGGGCCTATAAGTTCATGTGAATGATCAGAATTCCCAGGTGTATAGTAGAGCTGACAAGGGGCAAGGTTATGGTCATTACTTGGTCACAGCCAGCTACCCAGAGGGACCGAGTAGTTGATCCTGCGAGCTTGGGACCATAGTCGCAGGGGACATCAAGCTCAATTGGCATAACATACTATACAAAACATTGTTCCACCTACTACTTTGGCGAGTAGCGACTGGGACCTTAAAAGCTAGGAAGCTGCCATCTAGATGCAACAATGGGTCTCTCCTTGTCAAGAAGAAAGAAGAAAAACAAAATTAATGGAAACAATCAGTCCTAGCGACTGGTACACCATCCGATCTGCAACCTATACAACTATGAGACCAGAAGAACTAGATGGTGCCCAGCTACCACTGCCATCCACTTGGAAGGGATGTAGGAGATCCTGCATAGAGAGGGAGAACAATGTGGAACAAAACTCAAAATCATTTGGAGGCAAAAAAAAAAAGGAAGGTGGGGACCAGGTTTGCTGGTCCAATAGAGCCTGGTGGAACCACTGAGACTATGGCCCCTAGCTGCCCTTCAGGTCTGGAATTGAACCACACCTGTGGTTTCCAGCCAAACAAAGTACAGGCATGTGAGTTAAACATTTACCTCAAGTAGACACACGTCCTGGAGAGAACAAATCATGGTAGAAGGAAGGGCTGCTTATGCACAGGGAGATAGCTCAGGGTGCAGAAGAGTATGAAGGGATGGACACTGGGAGGAGGTAACTATGGGGAGGAAGTGGGAGGGGAGCTGTTGCATTGTAAATTTTGGTCAATGACATGAGACAAAGTATATGTGAACTGCTGTATGAAAACTGAATTTGCTCTGTAAATCTTCACCCAAATCAAAATAAAATTAAAAAAAAAAAAAAAAAAAGGTTTTAAGCTCCTTTATATCAAAAAACAGTAACTAAAAGCACAAGACCTAGAGTCAAACAGTTCATTGTTTATAGAGCTCTTACTTTTTAAAGGGAGCTCTGGTGGCACAGTGCCTAATTCATTTGACTGCTAACAAGAAGGCTGGAGGTTCAAACCCACCAGCCACTCCTCAGACGGAAGACTGGGCAATCTACTTCCACAGAGATACCGCCTTGGTGTCTAGGCCTGGGTCTCTATGAGTCAGAACTGACTCGACAGCAGTGTGTTTGTTTTTTTGTTTTTTTGGTTTTACTTCTTAAAAGTTGTATGCTTTTGCATCATTTAGGAGCTCTGGTAGCATAGTACCTAAGGCACTTGATTACTAACCAGAAGGCTGATGGTTCAAATCCACCAGCCACTCCTCGGAAGGAAAACAGGGCAATCTTCTTCCATATTGATACTGCTTGGGCAACCCAAGGAGGGGTCACTATGAGTCAGAGCCTACTCGATGGCACATTAACAACAACAACATTTGCATAATTTATACAAGCTCCCTAGGCCTCAGCTTTCCCACTTATAAAATGAAAAGAATTATGGTAGCTACTCCATAGGGTTACTGGGAAGATAAGTGAGATGTTGAATACAAGGTACTTAGCACAGACTCCTGTCACATTAGCTTTCTGGAACATTAACAGTCTAGTACTGAAACAGGAGAAATGTTGCTGTTATGAGTAGAAAACTGACCGATGTAATCCCCAACCAAAAAATAACCAAACAAAACCCACTGCCATTGAGTCAATTCTGACTCATGGCTACCCCCTTGGGTTTCCAAGGCTGTAAATCTTTATGGAAGTAGACTGCCTCATCTTCCTCCCACAGAGCAACTGGTGGGTTTGAACTGCTGACTGTCTGGTTAAAAGCCAGAATGTTTTACCCACTACATCATCAGAACTCCTTAATGGAAGCCCTAAATCAAATATAATCAGATTATCTTCTATTTGATTATCTCTCAATCCAAAAATGCTAAAACAACTTGACATTATGATTAATAATCAGATCTCTGCAGTTATAGTTAAGATATATCTCAGCAGCTAAACTTCTTTGTTTCTACTTTAATTCTTCCTTAAAACTCTGAAGTTCAACTAAATTTGGCATATTAGTCTATTCTGGTCAAATTAAATAATAAAAAAAAAAACCAGAATAATTAATTTTATACAAATAAAAGTAATACCAACAAATGTTTCAGACGTATTACAAATTGTGCTACCAATATCAGGTAAAATATCACATTCATTTTCCTTAACTATTTTTATTTCACAAATTAGAGAACATCCCAATATTTTTATAATAAAATTTATTTGTGTTATCACCTGATTCTTCAGCTGGATAAGTGTTTGTCTCAAATTATCTGTTGTTGTTTGGTTACTTTTAAAAAACTCAGCTACTGCTGTATTCAAAATTATTTTATAGTCATCTTTGTTTATGTCTTGTAGGCAGGTAAGGTGTTGCAGGCAGGTATCATAATTTCCAGCCTGAAAAAAAAAAAAAAAAGAAAACAACCAAAACTACACAAACTAAATTACATACCAGGTTTAGGAACAATCCACTTATTTCCAAATATATTTCATTTATTTTAAACTAAAATCTCCATGAAGCAATGTTCAGAGTATCTAGAAATGGTGGATATTTATTTCCTAAGAATTAAACTGACACTGTTATGTATATCTAGTGAGATGTAAGAACCAAAACTACACAAAAAGGCAGTAATACTATTTCTAATTTAATTTCTAGTAAATGTACTTTGAACCCCCAACTATCAAGTTCTTCTGTTTACAGTCATGTAAGCTAAAAAATAGATTTTCTACTACATCCTGTCATGTCAGAAAAAAAGCTTTAACAATAAACTTTTGGGATTCCATTTTAAAGCACATTCAACGAAAAAAAAAAAAAAAGGAGAGTAGTGAGATGAAGGTTGACCCAAAGATTTACAAATTTGAATTTAAAAGACTTTAAAAAGTAGTGACAGTTAAAACATGTTTATGAAAACACACAAAAATGGAAATGGCTCAAATTACTCCTATTCCTTTCAATAAATACATTCAGTTAAAACAAACTCTAAAATGGTTTTTATTTTAAAGCTAAACCTACTTCTCTAAACTCAACTCTGGAATTATTACAGAACAAAAGTCAGAAATTTAAAACTTGTTTTAAAGATTCATACTTGATGGGCTCCTAAAAAGTGAGCAGATTAAGATAAACCATTTACTTACTGAGAAAGCTTGAAAAGCACTGCTTGACAACTCCTTTTCCTGATCGGTGAGCCCAGAGGACTGACCTGTCCCTTCATGTTTCTCTGTTCCCTGATCTGTAAACACACAAGTTTTACAGTTCTGTAGAAACAAAAGCTGAGCAGTGAATTTGTCCCTAGTTCATTTCTTAATTGTCTTCTTCCTAATGAAGTTGTCAGAATTACAACTCTCTAAACTACACTGGTTGATAAATGAGTATGAAACTGCTTGTCAGAAGATATCAAGAAGAAACGCTTCCCTAGGTCATAGTCAAGCACAGTGAAAACCTACAATCATTTATGTAAGAACTACAGCTTTGGTGATCAGGACATTTGGACTGAAATACTCTGCTCCCCTAAAACTATTTTATCTACCAACTAGCCTTATTCAAGGAACTATGCCAGGCTCTGGAGATTCGAGGAGATTATAAAAGTACCTATCATGCCTTCATGAAATTTATAGTCTACGTTCTGAGATCTTAAAAATTTGCAAGCAGTCATTTAAGAAGTAATTATTGGTCTCTTCCTGCCTGGAGCAAAGGAAAATTAAGAAAACCAAAGACCCAAGAAAGCAATTAGTCCAAAAGACTAATGGCCCACATGAACCGTAGCCACCTCTAACCTGAGACCTGAAGAACTAGATGGTGCCTGGCTACTACTACCATCCATGCTGACTAGAACCATAATAGAGTGTCCTGGTTATAACGGCAAAACACGTAGAACAAAATTGAAAGTCAAAAGAAAACAAAAAGACCAGACTTACTGGTTTGAAAGAAACTGGAGGAAACTCCAAGACTACAGGCCTAAGACAAGCTTCTAACTTGAAACTTAAGTCACTCCCAGAGGCAACCTCTCAGCCAATAGATGGGCCTATAAAATAAACAGTAACACCCGTGAAGAATGTGCTTCTTAGAACTAGCGATTGTACAGAAGAAAAGGGCAACCATCTGCCCAAAACCAAAGATGAGAAGGCAGAAAGGGACAGGGAAACCAGATGGATGGAAATGGGGAACCCAGGGAAGAAATGGGGAAAGTGCTGACACACTGAAGGGATTATAATCAATGTCACAGAACAATCTGCGGATGAATGATTGATTGGAAAAGTAATTTGCTAGGTAACCTTTCACCTAAAGCATAATAAAATGTAAAAAAAGAAAGAAATTTATATTTTATTTGGACTATAATAAACCATTGCCATCCAGTTAAACTGACTCATAGTGACCCTATAAAGACAGAGCAGAACTGCCCTACAGGGTTCCCAAGGCTATAATCTTTACAGAAGCAGATTGCTTTATCTTTCTTCCATGGAGCAGCTGGTGGGTTCAAACCACTGACCTTTCAGTTAGCAGCTGACTGACTACTTAACCACTGTGCCACCAGCACTCTTTAGGAATATAATAACATTTAACAATTAGAAAACAACATTGGGGGAAAAAAAAAAGGAAACAACACTGATAAGGGCTCATAGGTAATTCCCAGGCAAAGAATAAATGTTTTCACAGCCTTAGAAATCCATCAGCCAAAGATCAATACTTAAAAAATTTAATTCAAATACACAGAAACAAAAGTTCATTAGTGGTCATGGGTTTGGAGAGAAGGAAATGAGGAGTTACTGCTTTAAGAGTACTGAGTTTCTATCTGGGGTAATGAAAAGCTTTTGGAAATAGGTAATGGTGATAGCTACATAACTCTCCTAGGATTAATGACATTCTACTACATAATCAAAAATCACACCAAAAGTTAATAATTTAATAGTAACTAACAAATAATTTGCATTCAAATTTTCCTGACTGTTCCAAGAAATGCCTTATGTTGTTATGTGCCGTCGAGTCAGCCCCGACTCATAG